GCTGAAAATTTCAGCCCAGTATTGTTATACATGACAGACTATACAGGTGTTGTGTATTAATACATATTGGTGATGTGTGAACTAAAGCTTTGTTCTCTGAGCAAAACCCAGACGCAGTGCTGTCATGCATCATTGGGACTTCTGTTTGATCATCCTCATAGGCTTTACGCATAAGGTGTAGTAATTTCAGTCAAATCTGTGAGATAAATGTAGATCTAAAGTAAAAAATTGGCTGTTTGGGGGTTTGGCTGTTTTCCCAAGGGTGAGATAAATATGTCAGCCCTGCATTAGATGAGGTATATGAGGATTAGTTTGTCCATATTAATTTCAGTCTTTGTGAATGTAAAGAGATGTGCAAGTGCTAACTGTTTTGATGGCAAAAGGTAAGGAAAATCTAGAAGGGGAGGGAGGAGGAGGGAGAGGGGGAAAAATAGGAATAGCTTGTACAAAGCAGGATGAAGGAGTATTGCCCCCATATTACTAATGGGATCTGAGGCTGAGTGAGTGGCTTGCCTAGAGGCCACTTAAACCACAACTCTTATTGCTGGATAACAAGGAGTAAGCACCATCTGCTCAGTAAAACTTACTTTTGAGAAATAGATATGTATGAGATTGTAACATTAATTCACTTGTAACCAATAGGAATTTTGTAAACCTGGGATTTTCTGGGTTTCAGCCTCCCTATCAAATCAGTAACTAAACTTGGAACTTTCATTACAGTTATATGAAGCTTCTTATTTGCTCCTGCGTTCTGCTTTCCTTATAGTTTAGATCAGGTACAGGCAGATTTCAGGTTTACGTGATTTGCTTTCTTTTAGACTGTAACACTGTGGGTTTACCAATGAATGGATATCAAGAAGAGACAAAGTCTCAGGGTGTTTTTAAAAAGATAATTTTATTCTTTTAATTAGCCTAACACATTTCAGCCTAGTAGGTAATATTTAATGGCCCTCCTTAAGGGATGCAACTTTAAAATTGCCTGCAGGGATTCCAAAAAAAGTGTTTTCCAAGCTTATGCCTGGCAACTGAAAACTAGTCCCCCTGCCCCTTCCATAGATGATTTTAAAGTTGCATTCCTTGAAGAAGGGGATATTACTATTCAATATTACTATGATGAAATGCATTTAGCTAATTGGAAAAATAGAATTGATTGTCTTTTTAAATGTCCTTAGACTTTGTCTCTTCTCTACATTCTTTCCATTGGGCGTTACCAGTACTTGTTGCTTTTTGTCTGTCAATGAGGCAGGTATGAGATAACTTAGAGAGCCAGGTGGAAAAATGGTGATCCAGGGGGCCTGCAAATTGCCTGTGCTCTGTAACCTATCCACTGGGACAATCTATCTGTGTAAGTACAAGTCTTCATCTGAGATACTGTGTATCAGGGATTCTAAACATCTAATTTAGAGAAGACAGGATCTTTCTGTTTTAACTCTTGTTAAACAACTAGAAGTCAGGAACTCATTAATCTCTATGTGGTTTGATGTGCAGTGTGGTTGGAGCTTGGATACAATAAGTTTCCTGCCTTAGGACAGAGGGTTGCATTAGATAATTTTCAGATGCCTTCCAACTTGTTGATCACAAAACATGTAATCAGAAAGCAACAAATAATGAAGAATGAAATACAATAGAGTAGATAAGATGCACTCGTTGAGTATTTATCTCTTGTGTTCCAACTGAGACTCAGGGGAGGGGGGTATCATTGAATGTGAAATGGAAGGAAAATTGTTCAGCAAGTGTACCTAGAAAACCAGGAGACTGCATGTTGAAGGGCAGCCATTTTCATCCCAGAGAGAATTAGCCTTGAATGAATTGTACTGTCTGTTTCTGCTCTTGCAATCATTGACACAAATTATAATTGCATTTTGACACTTTAGGGCATATTTTTGAAATCACAGAACATGTCAGCTATCCCTTAATGTGCTTTAATCACCTCTTTGCTCAGATAGTTAAAATAACTGAAGTGTTTCCCTTTTTTCTTTCAATATTTTTCAGAATGGAGTCTCAATTTTTTCATATTGGTGTATTCCTTATCTTTCATCACCTTTATCTCTTTCAATGCTGTTGTATTGCTTGTGCACGATATACAATTGACATAAATTTGCTGCTTGGAATGGCAAACTGCAACACCTATTTGCTAGTAGATTCATTTCTAGGAAGCAGGCAAGGGGTACCTAATTGTGAGTGAACAAATTCTAGGTAGATGGTCCTACATGCTGCATCAAGCAGAATATTTGAGTAGGACTATGTCCCTTACAATATGTGCATACACACTGTGGTGATCATTAATAACCCATTATTTAAAACCATTATTTAAAATCTAGTAGATTTTACTTCTGGATTTTGTAACCTCACTAAAACTTATAAGGAAATATTAAATCCATAAGCCAAGTACTAAAAATAACTCTGATGGATAACAAGTTATGATAGTACAGTACTACATTACACAGTATAAGTTAATCTGTACCTCTTCTCAGCAATATTGCTCTTTGGATTTCCTGTTTAGAGCCACTGCCATTGAGGGAAACAACTATTTGGGGCTGCCTTTTATTAGGGCTTTTATTATCTAGAATGAGGGGCAATCTGCAAAGGCTGTTTGGTTTGTGTTCCAGGGCATAACAATAAGAACAGAAACACCTTGAGGTCTTGAGAACATGTGCAGAACAAGATCAAGGGCACATGTTCCATTTGTTGAATTATATTCTGAGAACTCAGAGATCTCATCCATAAAATACCGTTTTTACAGTATTCTTTTAGAAAACATCTCTGCTTAAAGGCAGACAGCATTGTATCTATGGGACGAAACAGATGGGCAAAACAAGCAAGTTTCAGGCTGGCTTCAAGGCAGGGCATTTAGATGATGCATGCTTTGAAGCCAGCCGGAAAACACCCTCTAGCCATCTTATGGGGAGAAAAACTGCTTTAAAAAGGAGCTGCTTTTCCCCCGGAAAGTGCGCACCTTTACATGCATGTATAAATGCACCAACGCCAGTGCAGTTCTAAAGGGGTGTTCTTTCCAAACCCTAACTGTGCATGTAAATGTCCCATCACAGGAGCACATTTAAAAGGAACAGAGTTGCCGTACACAAGTGGTGGGGATGGCAATGCCCAAAAGAGAAACCATGGAACTTCTCATGAAGATGAGTACAACATACACAAAACAGGGAGTCAACTAGAATGAAGGGGGGTTGAAGAGAAGAGCATGATTCTACCTTGCCAGCATCTACATGGGCACACCTCTGCTCTGATGCCCTGTGTACACACACTAATGTGTGTATGTGTGCAGGTTCACGGGGATGGCCATATAGTGGATGGCAGTCACTGGCTGCTTCCTCCTGTGAAGGTGTGCAGGGATGGTTGTGGGGACAGTATAAAAAAAAGTACCCAGCGGCACGGCTTGAAACCACACCATGTGGTCATGACATGCACATTCCAGCCACCTTGGGAGCGAGCAGTGTGGTTGGTGAGGTTTCAGCATGGCTTCAGAAAAGGCAGCTTCAAGCCATTTTTTCCTGCCTGTCTGTTTCACCCCTATGTCTCCACACAAACTCTGCCATTCTTGTCCATCCCACATTCTGCTTCTGTTATTGTGATACAGTACAGGAAGCATCTTGCCAGAGCCTTTCCTAGTAGACCACTTATCACCTAAATGAGTGTTGGGAATCATGTGGCCCTCCAGATGGTGTTGGACTACAGATCCCAGCAGTCCTAGCCAGCATAGCAAATGGTGAGGAATTCTGTGAGTTGCTGTTAACAACACCTGGAAGGCTGCACAATTCCCACCCTGTCATGGTTAGTTATTTGGCTGTGTGTAGATACAGAGAGAGTCTTCCCCAGAGTTCATCATCTTTAAATTTTCACCAGTTGGTTATCAGTCCAATTTGGGGATGATGTCATTGTGGTAGTGAATCCACTCTAGGTTTTAATGGATCTCTATAAGGTGCTGAATTCTGTTCCTAAATAGCATCTCCCCCCTCCCCCCTGAGAGCTCCTATTAGCCTAGCAAAACCTGGATATACTACCTAACTAACATGGGAGCCATCATTTATCACATGACTGTGGCCTACAGTTGTGCCTGTTGTGACTTGACTGGTGCTCCCTGCAGTAAGCATACAATATGTGATGTTCAAGTGAACATCTCTAAAATTTGGGGACTGGCTCCTGATTGGCTGCAGAAACATGGCACACGTGTACTCCATAGGGACAGCCCAAGACATTTTGCTGCTTGAAGCAAAGGACAAAATGGCACCCCCGGTGTAGAGGTTGCAAACTTCTACAATGGTAACTTTATAGTGTCTTTCATCACATCTGAGTAGTTTATAGGGTTCAGGATGGGTTTAGGAGAAACTATTGGGGATTGTCACCGCTGCCCCCAGCACCTGCCACCCGAGATAGTTGCCTCACATTGCCTAATTGGGTGTGCCACTACTTGGTTACATGCAATGTAGTTGTAATTAATGCAAATGCTGTCTGAAACAGCCTCGCCTCCCCAGCAATAACATCCCCCCTTTTAGACAGAGGGGGGTATGGCAGTAGAATATTTATGGACAGATAGTGACGAGTCCAACAGAGTGGTGGAAGACAGAGCTCTGAGTGGCACCTGGCCCAGCTTGTACTCCCTAAGCTAGTTGTGCTGCAGATGTGGTAAAATTCTGCTGTCAACCCTGATTGGCTTTCAATGTATGGAATAGGGAAGGAGCCATCTTATCCTTTGCCTCAAGATCACCCTGCTCTTCAGCAACATTGAGTGAGTGACACAGTCCCTCATAAGTACCTTGGGTGCCCTTTAATAGGCTGGCCCGAACAGAACTTGAGATCATTAGTGCCCATATTGTGAAAGAGCCACCATGGTGTAGTGCAGGGGTAGGCAACCTTTCCCCTTTAAGGGCCGTGGGACTTCAGCTCCCAGAAGCCTCAGCCATGTTGGCCAATAGTCCCATGTTGGCCAATAGCTCCTGGGATTCTGGGAGCTGAAGTCCCTCGGCCCTTAAAGGGGAAAGGTTGCCTACCCCTGGTGTAGTGGTTTGAATGTTAGACTGTGACTGTAGAGACCAGGGTTCGATTCCCAGCACAGCCATGAAACCCACTAGGTGACCTTGGCCAAGTCATATCTCTCAGCCTCAGAGGAAGGCCATGGCAAATCACCTCTGAAGAAATCTTGCAAAGAAAACCCCATGATAGGTGTGCCTTAGGGTCACCATAAGTTGGAAATGACTTGAAGGCACACAACAACAGCAACAATATTTTGAAAAACATATTTGTTTTTGATTTAAGTAGCACTGAATCATCATACAGGATCAGGCCCAAATCCATCCTAAGCAGGAAAAGAGGAGGCAGCCAGGTAAATCACACCTAGGGAATGTAGTTCTAATAGAAATGTCTTAGGCTCTCACATTTACTTATTCAGATAACAAATAACACTCTCTAGGAAAGAGAATGGGAGCAAGAGATTGAATGTATATATTACAGCTCACATAAATATGAAAAGGCTGCTGCACGTGCCTGTATAAATCCCAGTGATCTTGCATGTTTTCATCACACGGCTGCCACTGAAGAAGATGTGAGGAAATGAGAAACTGTTGTCACCCATATAATAAGGGAAGCAGAACAATTCTGAACTTATTTAAAGGGACAGGATAAAGAGAGAGAGAGAGAAAAAAAGCAGAAACGTTCAAGTACATTATACATCACATTGAAACATCCAGGTTTTGCAAAGAATTAAAGGGAATTTGGGAAAACAGTAGTAAAATAAATAATAATGAGGGATATATTAGTAACCAGGCTGGCTGGTCTTTGTGCACCAGTAATTATTCCAGACCTTCATGGGACTTTCTGGTATTTTTTTCTCTAGTCAACAACTAACAGGAGGGTGGATTGAAAAGAGGTATGTAGGAGTTGAAGTAATCCATGCAGATAGTAATCCATGTTGGCAGGAGGGCAGGTGTGGGTAGATAGTGGCAAAGATGAAGCAGGATTCACAGAAGCAGTGCCCCAGGAACATTGTTGTACAAGCAGCAGGTCTGTGTGAGATGACTGTATTTAAATGGTAGAAAGCTATCATGAGGGTGTTTGGCTGCTAACCAGTTCTTATATGATATCCTCTGGACTGCAGACTGACAAGAACAGTTATCTTAAATAAAACATCTGGATGGATGGCAGTAGAACAGCTTGAGACTCTGAAGTGCTTACAATATTTATTTTAAAAAAGTAAATTACTTCTCCTGGTAGAATAATTTTGGCCTTTTGCACAAACTTTTCACATTGTGCACCATAATAATCAGATGGGGAATGGTTGCACAAGCAGTGTATTATTGTGTCCTTATATGCATTATGTCTGTGTCTATGCCACCATGAGGGGATCTTCCATTTAATAGAAGTGTATAGATAAAGCTGATATTCTTTTGCAAGAAGTATTTGGTTAATTTGCATCCATATGCCTTTGCAGACTGCCATAAATAGTGCAAATTGAGTCCACTTTAACTGCCCTGACTCAGTGCTAGGGAATCATGGGAACTGTATTTATTGTGGTACCAGAGCTCTCTGACAGAGAAGGCTCAATGTCTCAGAAAAAAATACAATTCCCACGATTCCCTAGCACTGAGACAGGGCAGTTAAAATGGACTCAATTTGCACTATTTCTGGCAGTCTGCAAAGGCCCTAGTCTCCTAAGCCACCAGATCAGAGATGGGTCTCTCCTGTTCAAGTGAGTGGACTGTTTGCAGTCTTGTCCTGGATTAGATCCTGGTTTCTCAATTAGTGCATTGCCACCGGGATTCGTCCCAGTTTCTTAATTAATGCAATGCCACTGGGACTGTTACCACCTTAGGTCGTACTGTTAACCTAAGATGCTTGGCTTTTAGATTTCTAGTCTGGTGAACAGGCTACACTCTTGCCCTGTTGTGTTGGGAATAAGTCGTTTTGTTTTTTTTTATCCAATGTCTTCTTGCAGGAAAGGAACTGGAAGTGGGGACTTGTGAAATCACAGCATTGGACAGAGATATGAGCCATCCCAAGAGGATGATCGCCAGGCAGACAGCACGGTGTGCCTGTAGGAGGGGCCAGGTTGCTGGGACAACAAAAGCAAAACCTGCCTGTGTGGATGGTAAGGCCAGTAGCATTATTCCAGTAGTGTAAATGATGTTGCACTTGTGGACAGTCAGTTCCATATTTAATGCAATGGTGAAATTCAAAGCAGTTTTCAGTCGTAGAATTGTTGCACATCTGTTTCAGAAGCAGTTAAACAACCAGCAACACCACCAGTTGCACAGCTGCTTGTGTACCTGCTTCCACAACTGAGTGCAGAACCAGTTGCAGAAGTGGCAGTGCCTGGAAAACACAAGAACAATACCCTGCAGCTTGCACAGTTGTAAAAAATAGCATACTATTTTCTTCTACTCTTTTTCTCCTCTAACATTACACTGGAATTAAGCCTAAAAGAGCAATTTCTTTCTCAGTAACTTGCTCCAGACATGGCAAGGAAAAGGAAATCCTAAAAGATGTTGACAAATGCTGAGGTTTTTTTCCGGTTTCCTATATTGATGCACATCACATTCTCTGTGAATTTCCCAGTGGTGGTGGAGACTGGTAATTTTTTCCACTCCAAAACTACTTTCAGTGTCATGGGAGATAAAGTGAAAATGCTCTCATTTACAAAGTCAAACAAACTTCTCCAGTCAGAGCCAAGAAGATCAGAGCAAGGCAAACAGGTCATCTACCAACTCTGATTCTTATTCACAGTGTGGGAAAAAGCAGATAGGCCATGTGACAGAAGGATTCTGGAGAAGCAAAAGAGTTTGCACAAAATAGAGCAGTTTCACCAGTGGTCACTTCAAAAGATGGGATGCATCCACTGTACTCATTTGGAACAGAGCTTAGGAAGTTTTGTTTTCTGAACTACAGCTCCCAGAATCATGCTGGCAGACAGGAAAGTTTCCAAGCTCTGATTTGACAGCTTTCCTTTCGACCCAATCTAGAGATCAGCTGGGAGAGGGCTAGTTCCCCTTTGTCCACTAGTGGTAACAGTGATAGGTAGCAAATCTGTTTGTACTGTTAAATAATTATTGAAATCAGGAGTGTCTCAAGGTCCCAGAAAGAGAGGCATTTCCCCCTTAAATGCTCAGATCACAAACTGCTGGAATAAGATACATGACTCAGGGCCTTTACTGCCAGAAATAATGCAGATTGAGGTCAATTTAACTGTCCTGTCTCAGTGCTAGGGAATCATGGGAATTGTATTTTTATGGGATATTGAGCCTTCTCTGTCAGAGAGCTCTGGTGCCACAATAAACTACAGTTCCCATGATTCCTTAGCACTGAACCAGGACAGTTAAAGTGGCCTCAAGCTGTATTATTTCTGGCAGTCTGTAAAGGCCCTTAGTCTTGATGAGAGCTCTTTGGTCAAGGGTAGGCAACCTTTCCCCTTTAAGGGCCAAGGGACTTCATCTCCCAGAAGCCTCAGCCATTTTGTCCAATAGTCCCATGTTGGCCAATAGCTCCTGGGATTCTGGGAGCTGAAGTCCCTCGGCCCTTAAAGGGGAAAGGTTGCCTACCCCTGTCTTTGGTGGTTTAAGAGAAAAGCTCAGAAGTGAATGAAAATGGCAAAGAACAGTCCCCAGAATTTCAGAGCAATCCTATAGAGGTTATTGAAAAGAATAATGTTCAGTCAATCATCCTTCCATGGTACACAGTGGAATGCATGCTTAAAGAATGTTGTCTGCCACTAATGCACAAGCTCCCTTCTGATCTGTGTGCTGTTAGTATTTCCCATGCTGCTGAAATTATGCATGCTTAGGGTTGCTAGGTGCTCACTTGTAGAGTACGCCTGTCACTTTAAGAGCTCTGCTCCTTTGAGAAAGTGTGCAGCATCTGTGCTTCTCTCTCTGGGCTGCTCTCTTGGTCCCTTTGTCCTTCTTCACCATCTGCTAGTTATATAAACTTATTGCCAAGTTCTGCAGGAATACAGAACAGCTAAGGCAAGCATGACAGTCCCCCACCGACCCAGAGGTTGATGAACTACTGGTCCCATCATGACAGCCTCCCCGCACCCGGGCAAAGTTTACTATTGCTCATGGGAGCACCTGGAGGACCACAGGTTCCCCTGCCTTACCTGAGGAGTGAGCTGCTGCTCCCACTTCAGTGGAACCAGATTGGTCATTCCATGAAGAGAAGGGCATTTTCCATTCTTGAAAAGCTCCAGGGTTCAACAGAGGCCTTCTACTGGAGGAAGGGATTGGGGAAGAGAGACATTGTCAGTATTTTCCCAAGCAGTCCATTGTATTGCCTCTCATGCTGCTCTGGAACACCCTTCATATAAGAATACTTGGTATTTATATTAGCCATGGAAAGAGGTCTTATGTTTATAAAACTTAAGGTTATAAAACAGGACTGACTGAATGCTTATAATAAGGTAAAAGGAAAAATTGTGTTTCTTCTTTTCTGGAGATCAAAGATAGTGTAGAGCCTCTAAATTTGTTGGGGATTCTGCAACTTATGCATGCTGAATCTTTCTAGGAAGACAGATGCATGTCTATGATAGTTTATTGTTTTATGACCCCTTATTTCCTCCTTCTCTAAGAGCACACTTTTCTTTGTCTCTGGAGAGATTGCCATTATCTTCCTCCTCCTCCTTTGTCCTTTGACCAGAGCAGAAACTTTCTTTGAAAGCATGTAAACTACTTTTTCTAACTAATTTTCTTTGCAACATGAAGCTTTACCTGTGTATGAATATGCACATGATTTTGTAAGTAAATTTATCTTTTTATATTACTCTAATGAAGGACTTTTGTCTTAGTTCTTTATTGGAAGACACATGGGGACTGGAAGAATAAAAGTGGACTAGTTTTCTCTTCCTGCTCATGCACTTTCCACTATTCACTTTGCTGGTGAGAGTAAATAAATCTCTCCTATTTTCCTGTGCTTTCTAATGAATCTCAAGAAAAAGTCCACTAGGTTATGGGTCTCAGACACTTATGAGCAGATGTGAACAATTTAAAACTAGATTGTTCCTTTTTATTATTATTATTATTATTATTATTATTATTTGTTGAGGTTCCCCCCCCCGCTCAATTTCTCCCATTT